CCCCCCCCGCGCTACAAGAGACAGGTACGAGGACACTCGGGGAATAGCAACCACCCCAGGTGGGTCCCAAAAGCCTATTGTGACGGCTGTGGCACTGGGGTCAGAGTCTCTGCCTGTATCTCGATATGTCTGTGCACTGCGAACTTAGCAGACAATTGATGTGAACAAGCATATAGAAGAAGCTATAAATCACGTATTTGTCGCTGCATATCCTTAGCACCTTTTAAGGCCGTGCCCGTCAACATTCCTTGCGAAGATCATCTCTTAATCTTGAACCAGCTGCTTCTTAATCAACAACAAATTGACAGTTGAAATGAAGAACGAGAGCGTATATCTATCTACGGGCAGATCCCATACCAAACCAATCTTCTGGAGTGCTCCGTCTTCAGCATTTTCCGGAAAATTACGCGGGTATATTAGCAAATCCGGTTTCCAAGTGGAAGAGCGCTTTGCAAACGAAACCCGGTTCCATGAAGAGATAGTGCCACTGATCGGCTACTTTGTGGTGCCTATCATTGAACTCGAAGACGGCCTCCTCTTGCAAGACACGACCGAGGCCATCCTGTATCTTGAGAGTCAGAGAACAGACAATCTTGAACACAGCCTTATCCCAACCACGCCACAGCTCAAAGCCACAGCATATCTGATTAATTTATTCGGTACTGATGGCTTCCACAAACCCGGCATGCACTACCGCTGGAGCTACGAGCATCGCCAAGAAGGATTTCTTGATAGTGCCTTTGCGGACTGGGTTGCTCCAAGTTCCCAAGTTACAAGAAAGGAGCAGACTGCAAAATTCACGTCAGACTACCTGCCTGCACTAGGGATTCGGCAGACCACGATCGAGGTGATTGAGAAGGCTTGGGAAGAGTGTCTCGACATCTTGAATGAGCATTTCAAGAAGAATCCTTACTTTCTTGGGGCAGCTCCCACCATCGCTGATTGCGGTTTCATGACTATGGTCTGGGCGCATCTGGCGCGTGATCCAGTGCCTGCCTACCTCATGAGGACCAGAGCGCCCATGGTGGCTCGCTGGGCAGAACGCATGGTTCAACTGAAGTGGTTCGATGGGGGTTTCCCACAAGCCGACCCATTACTGGTCAACGACACGATTCCGGAGACACTCATACCATTCCTCAAATACCTGTTCGCGCGGATCGCCCCCGAGCACATAGCTAGCGTGAGAGCGTTCAATCGCATGATCGATCAGCGTCCGGATCTTGAGAGCGGTAATCATCTAGACGATCCAAGTAGCCCGAGCGCTCATCCAACCTGTGGTAAGATCGAATTCGAGCTGCTTGGAACAGTTGTGGAGCGTATGGCCTTTGTGGACTCAGCTTTTCAGTTGCAAAGCTTTTCTCGAGCCCTTGACGAATTGCCCATTAAGGATAGGGAGAGATTCATTGCCACCATGTCTGAGTATGGGGGCCAGGAGCTGTTTTCTTTGAGCCTGGCAAAACCTATCCAATATCACATGTATCGATATAGACTGTTATGAGCCGGCCTGAGTTCGAGAGATTTTAGTACTAGAATATGGCACGTGGGGTCAAAGGTGGTATTGATGCTGAATTATGTCATGATACATATGGTTCTCGGTGCGGTGAAGTACAATTGAGGATGAACCAGCTAAACTCTTCTACCAGCGCCTTGGAGATTGTATTCGTGACGTCATTTGTAAGACCGCTGGGTAGAATCAAGCCCATAGGAAGTAGCTAGTTTTAGTAAGACTGGTCAAGAGCGCTCCGTGCCATAATTTTCTGGATCTGATTTCTCCCATGTGCTAGTTGACCACAGTGCCAAAGAAATGATTTTCAAGCGGCAAGCGCATTCCACCTGATCCCCCCTCCTACCTTTTGTGGTCCCTGTTCGCTTACCCTAGCATAAGGTAGCGCTTACGCCATGGGTCGGGTCTGGAATATATATTCAGTACGCAAGATCCCTTTTCTACTTGCCTTTGCATCCGACTTGGCTCTACTTCAGCATTCATCAAGCATTATACTCAATGGCGGAACTGAAGTTTCAGACATTGAATCCCGCAACTGGGGAGGTTGTCAAGACATTTCTCTCAGCGACGGACGATGAAGTTCAGGCAGCAATCGACAACGCTCATGATGCATTTCAGAAGAATTGGCGTCCGCGGCCAGTCAAAGATCGGGCAGCTGTGATCTTCAAAGTGGCAAAGTTGATGCGGGAGCGATCTGAGTCTCTTGCACAGCTGGTAGTGCTGGAGATGGGCAAACCTATCGACATGGCCCGATTTGAGTTGGACATATCAATCAGGATCCTGGAGTATTACGCCGAAAATGGGGAAAAGCTCCTCGCTCCAAGAACACTTCCCCAAGCTCCGGGATCTCGGATCGCTCTTGAACCTCTTGGGGTCATCCTGGCCATCGAGCCCTGGAACTACCCTTTTTATCAGGTCGCTCGGGTGGTGGGACCACAGCTCATCGCCGGTAATGTGGTCATAGTCAAGCATGCACCAAGTGTGCCTCAATGTGCAATTGCACTAGAAGCGTTATTCACCGATGCGGTGGTGCCGACCGGAGTGTACACCAACATTTTTGCAACTATCTCACAGGTCCACCGTCTCATCGAAGACTTCCGCATAAGAGGAGTGACTTTGACCGGCAGCGAAGTGGCTGGCGCAGCCGTCGCAGAGCGCGCCGGACGACATCTCAAGAAGGTCGTCCTGGAACTGGGCGGCTCGGACCCTTTGATCATCCTCGACGATGCTCCACTTCCGGCAGCGATTCAAACCGCCACCGTCGGCCGTTTGATGCAGTCAGGACAGTCATGCGCGGCATCGAAGAGGGTCATTGTTGTCGGAAAGGAACGTGGTGAACTGGTCCTCGAAGGGCTCAAGCAAAGTTTCAGCAACTTCCGGGCTGGTGATCCCTCCGAAGAGGTGACCACACTAGGACCCGTCTTTGCCGAGCGTGGTTTGACGAAACTTCTGCAACAGGTCGAGATGGCCAAGATTAATGGTGCAAAGATCGTAATGGGCGGCCAGCGAGTTCCTCGACCAGGGTTTTTCATGGAGCCCACCATCATCACAGACATTTCACCAGAGAACCCTCTCTTTGGCGAGGAGACCTTTGGCCCTGTATTGTCCTTTTACATCGTCAAATCTGAGGACGAAGCCATTAAACTGGCTAACGCAACCAAATTTGGATTAGGAGCTTCCATAATTACAGCAGACACAAAGCGTGCAGCAGCTTTGGCTGCGAGAATTGATTCTGGAATGGTCTTCATCAACTCATTCGTATACAGCGGACCTGAAGTGCCTTTTGGAGGCATCAAAAACTCCGGGTTTGGCCGAGAACTATCAGACCTGGGCTTGATGGAGTTTGTCAATCAGAAGTTGATTAGAGAAGGTACACTTTGAGACCTGGCCTGGCCTGGTGCGAGAAGTGTCATGTCGACGGCCATGAATGGTGGAGCGCACCCTGCAAATAACAAAGAACTCTAAATGGAGCCACCAATGGGGAGCAGGGCGGGCCAAAGACCATGGGAAAACAATCATCTGTGCAATAGGTTGCGGTGTGACCCGAGCAGGTGGGTATGCCACTAGTATAACAAAGACCTCGTAGGCATGAGCCCAGGAGTCTCATGAACAAGTTCTCGCTTATTCAATACTGGTATCCGTTGGAATCTTAATGAATTTGCTGTAAAGTCGATTGATTATTCCTTCGATTACTCCCTGTAAAGTGGAGCACGCCAGGTCCAAGAGCTGTAATTATCGATGCCAAGCGATTGTAATGAGCGCGGTCTACTATATCGCTTCGATGCATCCGAACTAGCTCCGAGGGCTATTCGAACGCTATCCGAAGCGGACCCGAGAGAGCGCCCAGGCGCTAGTCTAGTACGTACGCAGGATACTATACAGTCTGACGAGTCCCTTGGACCGTCTTAGGAATGACCATGTCCCCTTCCCATCACAGAGCAAACTTGAACCGGCGTCCTTTTGGCGCATTAGATTTTTTTTAGGAATAGCTGGGTGGAGTTTTCGCGTTGAGGCCGGCGGCCACGCCGGCATAGGAACCTAGCTAAGTTAACGTACTCGTTCGTGCATCCGCTCGTACATTAGAACTCGAAGTTACAGTACCTTGTAAAGTATTAGTGTAATGGATCCCCACCGTTGCGCAACCTACGTCAACTCAGGCCTTCCCAGATCTTCGCCTTCGCGGTTTGCAACCTTGCTAGGAGCCGAAAGAAGACCAAACTTCACGATCCGCACCGCATTTTCCAAATGAGCAGGAATATGTACGTGGAGGCGCGGAGTACTCCTTGGCTACTTTGTGTTGGCATCACATTTCGGCCGGCATTTTTTCTCAAATAGTCTTCATCGTTGAGAGCTCTGGGCTCTGATTCCCATAGGAATGCCCTGGCTTCAGAGAGAGTTGCTCTAGCAAGGCAACGAAGGGGCGGAGAGGTATATAAGCCTGCATGTTGTGTTGACCCTGTCCAAACACTCTACCATCAACAAAAGCCGCCTATATCACTTCCAAGTCGTCGAAAGTTCCACCACCACACCGAGGAATCTACACATATTCGATCAACATGCAGCCTTATGCTAAGTCAAGCCCGGTCGATGTCAATGCCACAGTACAGCACAGTGTCCTGAATGGGAAGACGGCTATTGTCACCGGAGGTGATAAGCATCTCCTCTCGATACGTTCTCAAGTAGTGGAATAGCTCCGCTGACACATCAGTACTCATTACAGGTGCAAATGGCATTGGAGAAGCCTACAGTAGGGCACTTATTGAGGCAGGGTTGGTCATTGCCCAAATTCCTGAGAGTTCCAAACATTTTTCTAATGTGTCTCTCCATGACGCAGTGCGTTTGTTATCGTCGCAGACCTGGATGAAGTTGCGGGAGCCAACATGGAAAAGCAATTCTACGGGTAAGTATGAAATCAATTTTAAATCCACCTCTCTGCTGTGTGCTGGTTACAGAAGAAGACAAGATTCCTCGAATGCTATGTGCCTGATGGTTCTGACAGGGAGCAAGGCGCACCAAATTCGTTCGATGTAATGTCACAAACTGGAACGCCCAACTCGTTCTGTTCCAGAAATCTATTGCTGAATCTCCTTCCGGCATGATCGATATTGTCATCCCCAACGCTGGCATCGACGGAGCCGACAGCGTCTTCTACACTGACGGTAGGTACTTACTGCAGGACTATGCAAATAGTCCAAACCCTGGAGAGAGAACTTGGGTCTCGGCATCAAGAAGATTGACTTCGAGGTCTGACACTAGTTACGAAGGAACCTGAGAAACCGTCCTTGAACATTCTCGACGTCAACTTGACAGGGGCGCTCTACACGATAAAGTTAGCCCTGCATCACTTCCGCAAGCAACATGCGGAGGCCTCAGCAGGCGTATCGGTGAGAAACCATGACTTAATAATCCAAGGAAGCTTGGCCGGGTATCTCGATCTTCCCGGTGCCTTGGAGTACTCAGCATCCAAGTTTGCTATGCGAGGAATCATGAGAGACCTAAGAAGGACTGAATGGCAACACAATATACGTGTGAATTTTATAGGGCCTTGGTAAGGCGTGCCCATCTGGAGGAAAAAACACAGGTTTTGGCCAGGACATTTTCGGAGAGAACTGACTAATTGCTGATCTATCGATTAGGTTCGTTCGCACCAATATCCTCAACAATGCTGTTCTGCAGCATCTAGAAAACTCTGGGGTTGAATTTGCCACTGTCAATGACACCGCAGCAGCGATGATGAGAATCCTCTGCAACTCAAGCATCATAGGTATGTGCCGTCGGTGCTTACAGGCCACCCAGAACAGAAACCAAGCGGTATTATGTACATGTCACGTATCACTGGCTGAATTTGAGTCGTCCTGGCAGGTCGGTCCATGGCCATTGTACCACGAAGTGTTGCGTCGTGTGGCTACGTCTCTTTGGACGCCGACGACTTTGACGAAGGCTCCATCCTGCGGCAATTGCAGGATTGGGTGGAAGTCGTCGATAACCGAAGCAAGGTGAGTGCGTGAAGCTGAAGCATCAAAGTCTTAAATTCAAATTTCGTACAAAACTCTATTGATAAGACTGACTTCGCGAGTCTTTAAATCTAGATCAGTGTCGAAGCACAAACTAAAAACCAAGGTACTTGAACAGAAGGATTGATACGGATCACACAAATTTACCCAATTTGCGCCTAAGTCCAAGAGACACAGACTACAAGCCTCTCTCTGGCCGCGGATATTTTGAAACGAGGATGCTGGCCAATGGATGAAAGTGGGAATCCGATCTAGAAGTCCTGGGCTCTCTCTAAATACTCAATATGCTTTGCTGAGAGTGTCACTTCGAGTGCTTGAATGTTTGCCTTGAGATGTTCCACCTTCCGTCCTCCAATGACTGGGAACACATTGGACACCTTTTGCAGGACGTAGGCCAAGGCAATCGTAGTAATCGAATCCACACCCTGCTCACCTGCAGCCTTTTCGAGCCTCAATCTGCTTTTTGCTCTGGAATTTGCCGCCCCTCAGCACATCCCAAGGTGCCAAAGCCATACCGTAGTGACGCACCATAGGTATTATATCTCGCTCAAAGTCACGAGTCATCACATTCCAGCGGCCTTGGTAAACACTGGAAGGAGTCTTGCCCCGTGCTGTCGCATACTCATTTGCAGCAGCCACAATCCATGCCGGGGTGTCGGATATTCCAAGGTAGAGTACCTTTCCGGATTTTAGCAAAGCGTCAAGACTATCAATCACCTCAAGGATTGACGTGCTATGGTCCTATTCCGATAAAAAGACTAAGAGTCAGCAAAACCGGTACGGTGGCATCGAGATCCATCCTCGGCAACGTTTTAGCCAAACCGGGATTCTAGGTCTATCATTTAACCTGACACCGGGTACTTCGACAACTGGAACATGGATTCCTTGGAGGAGTTGCCTTCTTCATTCTGGTGGCATGGTCGGCTGCCTTACCTATCCGTGGCTAGCAAGCAGAAAGGGGCGTAGAATCCCATTGTTTCTCGCAGGGCTTTCCGTAATCATTGGCTCCTGTTTGCAGGCAAGGTCCGTCTCATCTGGTATGCTATGTGCAGCCCGCATTATCTCCAGCTTTTCGTGTGGATGGATCTTGTGTGGAGTTGTTGGAAGGCAAGTTGGCAATTAAGCGAGTGCATGAGGATGGTGATTGAGATCCCTGTTCTGTAGCTAATGGCTCCTATTATCCTCCTTACTAAATCTTCAGCAGGCGCCTACAAACATTAAGTGGCGATTCTACATTGTTTTAGCGGCATTGTCAGGCACCATGGCCATAATGATACTCCTCTTCTGCCTAGAGGCGAGCGTTCCCTGACGCGCTCTAATCTTAGAGGATAGTGAACTAATTATACGAATAGACTAAAGGGTTGAGCCTCGAACAAGTTGCGGCACTCTTCGGTGATCATGTAGTCACCGCCAGTGATGAGATCGAGCCTAATACTCAGATCCTGCAGCAGAAAAAGCAAGAGTTTGAAGAAGTCGAAGGAGGACAGAAGGCGTAAACTTAGCTCCGCGAACTAGTTGAGTATACATGCTGCAAGCTAATAAAGTTAGGTGAGGCTAAGCGTTCAAAAAAAGTAGGACAAAATAAGTAGTCTCTCGATTGACCGGCTCTCTACTAAACCTCTACCAATGTCTATATCTAATACTTCTCCTTAATGTGTAGAGATAACGGCAAGAGCAAGGGGCATGTTTATTTGATTCATACGTTGCAGTCGGAGACCTCAAGTACTTTCTAAAAAGGACCGATAGTTATACTTACAGACCTATGAAAGTCTCTAAAGAATAAAGGGTAGATTATTAATTATTATAACTATAGTGAATAGGGTTAATATTATCCTAATTAGATAAGAAAACTAGACCGACTCCTACTATAACAACTCTATCCAATCGCCTATATTGAGGTAAGTATATCTTACAGTATCCATCATTTCTTGACGGTATGCCTAAGAGTCTACTATTATTATATTATTACCATTACACTCTCGAGCACTCTAAAACTCTCTTTAGTATCTACCTAGCTTGCCTAGTTAATAGCATCGCTCTAAGCGGCTAGTGAAATTTACGCTAGTCCTCATTAAGTTAGACTATAACTAGATATAGTCTAACCGGATGCCTTATCTACAATACTATACTATAATTAGCGATGCTAAGCGATTATAATGAGCGTGGTCTACTATATCGCTTCGACACATCCGAACTAGCTCCGAGGGCTATTCGAACGCTATCCGAAGCGGACCCGAGAGAGCGCCCAGGCGCTAGTCTAGTACGTACGCAGGATACTATACAGTCTGACGAGCCCCCCGGACCGTCTTAGGAATGACCATGTCCCCTTCCCATACAATACTGTGTCCTTCTGCTTTTCCCGTTCACCGAGGCATAAAGGCTGCATGAAGTTGTCCAGAAGTACTAGTCCTTTACTGGTAATGGTAAGACAGGTTGTTTTCTGTTAAGTGAGTGGTGTCCGCTCTTCGCCGCTGCTCTCGGCTTTTTCCCGCTCCTGTCCGCTCTCGCAACGCTGATCACCAGAGCTTAAAGTCTGCAACCATGTCGGAGGTTGCACCGGCTAAAGGAGTCAGGGAGAGACAACTCTGACTTCTATCGGTCAAAGTGCACTACTAGGTATTTAAAGTGAGTTTTGGCTCAGTGGGATTTTCTGAACGGCATTCAGGCCAGTATAAGCCCACATCAAGCCCGTTACGCGTATCTGACCTGCCAAAAACGCTTGACAACATGGCGAATAAGGACTCTCAGAAAATATGGTTCATTTCAGGTGCGTCATCTGGACTCGGCCTCGAGATTGGCCTTGCGGCACTACGTTCAGGACATCAAGTGATCGGAACTGGCCGCAATATCCAAAGTGCAGCGATCGCCAACCCGGAGTTCGAAAAATTAGGCGGCCGATGGCTGCAGTTGGATATCTCTAGACCAGAGGCACAAGATATTGTCACTAATGTCGTTGCGGAACAAGCACGGAACCTTCACTGGGTAGTCGTGAACAATGCTGGAAACACCTTACTCGGTGCTGTCGAAGACATGAGTGAGGATCAGATCTCCCAGTATCTTCAACCGAACGTGTTCGGAGCTATTCGGATATGGAAGGCTCTTCTTCCAGTACTACGTCGCAACCGTCGAGGCACACTGGTCACCATCTCGTCAATATTCGGCTTCGTCAGCAAAGCGGAACATATGATGTACAGTGCAGTGAAGGCCACGACCGAGTCTTTGACCGAATCTTATGCCGGCCTCTTGGCACCTTTTGGGATAAAGGCTATGATTATCGAGCCCGGAGGCTTCCGCACCAGGTTTCCAGCGAATAATATCAAAGCAGACCGTGGCATCTCGGCGGACTACAAGGAGGCAATCAGCAAGTGGATCGACATCGTGGATGCTGCGGGCAAAGATCCAATGATGGTGAATGGAGACCCTAAGCGGCTTGGGGCACGAGTCGTTGATGCTGTCGAGGGCAGTGGCCCCTGTCAGGGGTTGTGGTCAGAGCATGAAGAAGGACAAGTTTTACGTGTCCAGTTGGGCACGGACTGTTACGACTTATTTGGTGAAAAGCTGAAACGTTTGAACCAAGACTACGAGAAAATGGCTTCGATTGCGCAGTCGACAGACGCCGATCCATGATGCCTTTGTATCCGATAGACTTGCTAACACAGAACCCTGTACGAGAAACCATGCATCATATACCTAAGATCTTGGACCAGCCTTTCTTGTAGAAATAGTCCGCCACGATCTCTAGTTCGGGAGGAAGGCTCAAATGTAGAGAAAGCAGGCATTAGTGTTCGTAGAATTGCTATCTAAATATCCTTCAAGACTTACGTCTGATGGATGTATGAGGGTAGGATCTTCTCTCCCTTCGTATCCGAACTCATTGAAGTACGCAAAATTGTCGTCGAGTTCGAGTTCCAGCTCCTGGGGTAGCGGCACTTTCGATTGATCGTTGGACAAGTTGGATCGGCTCCGCAGCCAGACCTGTTGAATTCGCAAATGCTTGCGTCATCTCTCGAGACGTAATTCAGGCCCTACAAGCGATGATATTCTTGCCCGCGGCTTCACGCACAAGGGCTTGCACGAATGCACCGACGTCTTCCTCTAGAGCGATCGTTGGAAGCTTGATATCTAGGTCCAGGTGCCTACTTGTTGGCGCCAAAGTGACTATCGACGGAACAGGCAGACAACCTCGTAATAACGATCAATGAGTCAGTGCCACAGCCTCTGGAATGCTTTGGAATCATGGAAAACGGGCTCCAGGAGGTCATCTTGCCTAGTAATTGTCTATATAAACCAGAACGGTGACCATAGAATAGAAGAAGACAGAAATCTCAACAACGCTGACTTGCCTGTATCGATTGGCCCGTACAGTTGTACAGTCTAAATCCTACAACACTACTAGATTAGACAACCCGAGCCTTACTCTTAGGAGCCTTTAGCATAGAGGACTCGCTTGTGAGTAACAGAAGGAGCCTAACATGGTCGGTTGCATTTTTGGATTTTCCGTGTAATTGTTCGAGAAAAACCCAATTTGGAAGATACTGGTCTTTTTCCACAGAGCCGGATGCTCTTTATGGATATATGCGACTACCCTCGCCTTTGAGCCGAAATGGTACACATGCGTGTACTTGCCCTTCGACCATTTGGTAGCGTCCGAGAGAGCAGGGATAATGAAGAGCTCCAGGGTCGGGATTTCAGCTGCTACATCGATCGCATGCTTGAGCTATTGCTCTTCCTGCTTCGCCGCCTAGAGATTTAGTGGCTCTCCCGGCGACGAGTTGTCTTTGTTTATAGGATCAAAATATAAGCCCCGGAAATTGGTCACAGCAAATATCACATTGGCATTCTTAAAGACAGGAACGAGGGTCTTAGGATGGTCAAAGTCGGCTTGGATTAGTTCCGCCTCTCGACCAGAAAGAGGCCGAGCTTTTGTCCCCGATAGATCTTGAGTGGCTGCACGGATTTGCCATCCGCCCTCCCGGAGGAATAATTCTACTACGGCGCCGCCCTGATTTCCCGTGGCTCCAAGGTCTATAATGATTTTCTCGTGAGGTATATCGGATCGTCCTTAGATGTAGTAGCTAGTAGTCGAGGCGCGTGGGTTAAAACCGAAGTAACATCTAGTTATCCCCTGCGCCGTCAGCGTGTAACCTTTTTTCTTGGCGTAAACCACCAAAACTTAAAATCAATGTTTCTAGGAAGCCTTAAGGACTTAAATAGCTCTCACTACCTAATTACTATGTAGGTTTACATGATACTCATTGAAGCAACCCTTCTTAATATAGAGATGTACGCTATAGGGTTTACAGCCGAATTTAACGCGTTTTGAGCGCGGAGCGCGTGCTCTAAGATTACGTGTCCGTAGTCGTGCATTACTAGAAACCTCTCCTAGGACTAGCCTAGTATTACTTGTAGCACTACTACTAAGTTATTTACCGCCGTTGTACTTACTCTACGCGTAGTGGCCGTATTTTAGTATCTCTATAGGTACGTAATAATTCGTAGAGCGAGTCCTATATCTATATTTTGGACCGGGCAGCCTAGTAAGCCCTAGGCTACCGTGGGCTCGCAGCGCTAGGCTACAATAGATACTTATTATAAGCTTACAGGGTAAACCTTAATTACTATAGGCTCGCTAGGCTCGTACCTAGGTACTATAGGCTTATATACTAACCTTACTATTTATAGAACTTTTCTATTTTATAATTATATAGACTATTCTTAATAGTACTAAATAGTAGTCTTAGTATTAGTATTAGTAAATATATTATATAATATAATAATATTATTACGGGTTAAATCCGTAGAATATCTTAGTAAGAACTAGCGACGTCTAGATTCGACCGTATAGTTATATAGCCGAACGATATTACGTAATACTAATAGATATCTTAGCGAGCGACGCTAAGACTAAACTAGCGATACCTAGATTCGACCGTATAGTTATATAGTCGGACGATATTACGTAATACTAATAGTTACCTAGGATATCGGGCTATTTACCCTAGGAGATTATATCTTCCTATAGATAGCGATAGGACTTCTTTCTATAAGGGTTTAGCTAGGAATTTAGAGTAATTTATCTAACTATCGTATTATATTAGGGCTCGAGGCGCTTAGTTATGAAAGAAGAGAAAAGGGGCCTTAGTATAGAAGAATAAGTAAGTAAGGAGAAAAGTAGATAATTAAAGCGTAAGTAAGGAAGGACAAGAACGAACCTAACGTACGAGAGCGTACGTTAAGTATTAGATAGTAGTTATAAGAGTATAGTTTATAGAATTAAAAGAGTATTTTTCCTTCTACGAGTTCGACTATATAACTATATAGCCTAAGTTTTAGTAGTAGTATAAGGGTTTAGCTAGGAATTTAGAGTAATTCGTCTAACTACCGTATAACGAGGATTCTAAAGCTAAGGAAAGAAAAGAAAAGAGAAAATCTATCTACTATACGAATAAAGGAAATACTTCCTATCCTCTTCTATAGTAGATATAAGGGTTTAGCTAGGAATTTAGAGTAATTCGTCTAACTATCGTATAACGAGGATTCTAAAGCTAAGGAGAGAAAAGAAAAGAGAAAATCTATCTACTATACGAATAAAGAAAATACTTCCTATCCTCTCCTATAGTAGATTAGTATAGTTTCCTAGGAGATAATCGATAGAAAGGAATTATATAGCTTCGACTATATAGTTATATAGCCTAAAGATATACTACGAGTAATCGCTCTAAGGCGTACTCTAGAGCTTTATACGAGTTTAATTCGTAATATTACTTTCCTCCTTTCTTCGTACGACGCTAAGAAATCGCTACTCTTAATAGAAACTAGTCGAACGTCGAGTAGCGTATAAAGTAAAATTCTTATTTCTATTTACTTTTATTCTACTTTTTCTTTTCTTATACTAATTATCGAGAAAGTTTTTTATAAGTACTTATTTCTACTCTTATTATATACGATTATTAGTCGTTACTAATCCTTAAACGCTCGTAGTCGATATAGTAAATAAATAAATTAATTAATCTATTTCTTCTTCTTTAATTCGCTCTCTATACTCTAAGCTCTAGGCCTTTTCGTTTAGTCGTACGTACTAATAGAAGAATAGAAAAGTTAAGATAATATAGTATTAGTAGTATAGGATATCGCTACGACTTAGCGTTAGTTAGAGTAGCTCGCGCTAACTTAAATCTCTATTTTCCTTACCTTCGGATAATTATTAGTATCGTACTACTATAATATTTCTTAACGAGCGATCTTAGCTATACTAGAAACTAATATACCTTTCGTACGAGGAGTAGTTACTCTAGTATAGGTCCGATTATATCGACTATCGTATATTAACGCCTTACTTATTTAGAGCTAGAGTATTCTTTTCGATCCTTATAACTATTATAAGCGCTTAATACGTCTATTTCTAGAGTATCGACGTATTCTAGGATACTTCGGTAGTATATACGATAACTATAAGTAGTTAGACCGCGGTACTCGTTATACGAAGCGCGATAAAGACGACGATAGTAGTATTATAGTATTATCGTCGAATTCGTTCGATAACGACGACGCTCTTCCCTCTACCTATAAGGCTCTTCTCTTCCTTCCTCCTCCTTCTCGCTTCGGCGAGGTAGTTATAAAAAGATCTACTTCTTAGCGATAGATACGTATAATATTTCTTTTATTCTCTTATCCTCGTATAGTACTTATATTAATATTAGTATAATCCTAGTAAATAAGGAATATTCTCTATACTTAACTATAGCTTATACCTTAACGTAGCGATTAAGCTTCGTCGTATAATAACTAAATAAGCTAAATATATATAGTATAATTAAATATTTTATTATTCTTATAGTTCCTCTATACGTACTCTCTCTTTTACTTTTATATAGTAATTAAGAAGTCGATTATCTCGCTATCGATTCGTATATATCTAAAGCTATAATATTCTAGAGCGATAATTTCGGTTTCTAGATTAATTCTATATATTTTATCTATTTTACTAAGTACTACCTTTAAGACCCTCGGCCTCTTCGTACGAATTTATAGCGAATAATCCTTTTAATCTAGTATTCTTCTTTATTCTATATAACGATAGAATTTAGCTAAGTATCGTCGGTAACTTACGAAGGTAATAGATTCGTAGATATTATACGTAGTAGATTCGAATAGAATATATTATAAATTCCTTTTAGCGTATTAAGACGATAGCTATATAATTCGATAACTTTAATTATAATATACTTCGTATTCTTCTAATTAAGCTTTTTATTCTTTCGCGTTATATATATATTTCTTAAGTCGAGCTAGACCTTATCGCCTACGTAGAACTCTATTAACTATTATCTTATACGATTTATAATTTCTTCTTATTCTTATTAAGTAACGACTGTAGAAGTCTAAGCCTATTCTCTCGCCTTCTAGAGTTTTCGTACGATTTCTTCGCCCTATTATATTAGACTATTTCCTTTTTTATCTTCGCGGAGCTTATCTTATAGTTATACGAAGTCGATATTATATTCGTAAGATAGGAAGAAAGGGCTTATACTAGTTAATTAAGCGTTTCTATTATTAATTACTAACTTAGTAATTAGTAGTAATTCTACCTAATTACCTTAAGCTTCGTTTACGAATATACGTACGTACGTCTCGATCGTTTAATTTATTCGTTTTATAGATTCGTCCGTTTTAGGATAATATATAGTAGATAATCGGTATACGATACCTAGTAGCTAATATACTTATTTCTATAGAGCGCTTACGACCTAGGTTCCTCTATTCGATACGATAGCTCTCGGTAAATCGTAGGTTCTATAGAATATACGTAGAAATAGGAATACTATATCTTACTATTACGGAATAGAACTACAATAGATCCTAGAAGTACCTATTCTATACTAAGACTAGTCCTAAAATACTAAGGGGCCTAGTATATAAGACCTTAGGGGCTATACGAATCGTATACGAGGTTTTTAGACTCCTTAAGTTCTTATAGTTAATATTCTAAGGACTATATAGTAATTAATCGATTATCTTAGTATTCTCGTTAAGTTACTTATACTCTTATACTTACGACTTAATTATATATATCGATTTAAGAATAACTCCTTTTCCTAGTCGGTCTATAATTATCGCTAAATTCGTATAGCCTAGACTCTCTAGAAGCTTCGTAATAAAGTCGATAGATATCTCGCTCTATATTCGGTTCGATACGAAAAGAAGTTTTAAGAATTCTTATTTCCTTTTCCTCTAGGCTTTTATTCGTTTATAGATATCGTAGTTTCGTACGAATTATCGGATATTCTATAGTATATTCGGCTAGAAGAATTATCTTACTATTAAAAAGCTCGTTACCTTCCGCCTAAAGTATTCGCTAATTACTAAGTTATAGGTTTCTTAAATTAGAAATATATATAAAGGTTTTAAGTTCGAAATCTATAGTCTTCTACGAAAGCGTATATTTCCTTAACTATTAATTATATACTTAGTAATAGATACTTTTACCGCTAGAGAAGATAGAAACTTTAATACTCTTCGAGTAATTAAATCCTTAATCTACTCGTACGTTTCGTTCGACTCTACTATCGTAAATTAGTTAGTATTAACTACGTTACTCGCTAGTTAATCTTCGGTAGAGAATTCCTCTACTCGTACGAAAGCTACTTAAATCGCTCCTTTCGCGTCGAAGAACTTCGACTTTAATAGTCTTATTATACGAAACTATAGTTAATCGTTCTCCTTTTCTTTCGATATATCTTATTTTCTTCGCGATAGCGCGTTAGCCTATACGTTATTCTTTTCTTTAAGATAGAAGATCGTAAAGTTATATTATAAGAAAATAAGAAACTATTATATTTACTTCTTCGTAAGCTTTTATATAATTATAAAGTATTCTAGATTCTTATAATTTAATTATATCTCGAACTTATCTATACTCTTTAATTTAGCGTTCTATTCTTTAAGATAACGTATAATAGTTAATATTTCTTTATCGTATATTTTATAGTTATATTCCGCGAATAAGTTCTTTTTTAAAAAGAATATATAGAGTCGTACGAAATC